GCCCGATTACCGTCGCTTCCAAATGATAACATTCTTCAAATAACAAAGAACAATTACAGCACCATTATTCCAAAAAAGTCTATTTTTCAAGTCGATTCTATCATAAAATTTTATGAGATGAAATAAATTAACTTTAGTTGTTATCCAAAAATTTGATATTCTTCTTCGACTAGTTTCATGATCTCCAAGTCATTCAATTATTTGTACGTATCTTCGTATTGAACAAAATTTATGTATCATTAAAGATATTCAATTTTCAGATGAACAATTACTTGTTTATTTTATGATTGAATATATTGACCAATACCTTAATCATATACATTCATCAATATTTGACACAAGTGACTCAATCGAAAATGTACAATATGTTCAGAAACACTAGAATCGAATGTTAAGTATCGGCAATTCGATAATTTATATTGATTCAATTCAATCAAATGAATTTATTTATGGTAATTTTCTTAAAGAAAAAATAGATTTTTATTTTCTTTGTGAATGTATTTTTTTTTGTCAGTAGGGACACCATCAATACATGAATGAATATTCGAATTTATACATTTATTATCATAGAATACATCACAAGTTTTTAACGGAAATGATCACATATGATTTGTTAACGCTTGTATAGAAAATAAAATATTTTCGTTTTTTTTTTTTTATTAAAATATGAACAACAAAACAATAATTTATAATTTGCTTGTCTTGCGATCTATGATTATTTTTTTTTTGTTCTGTGATATAATACAAATTTTATTCATTCCAATTTATTTCTTAAGTAGAGCAATAGCAGCAGCAGTAAGACCTAAATGAAAAACATATTTATTTAAAAAGAAGAAGTTGCAATTCGAATGGATGATTGAGTCTATTGCGATTCAAATGATTAATAGAATAATAATTTTTTTCTTCGATCTATTTCTACTATGTACAAAAGTAAAAACGTACTTTCTGAGATAATATAGAGCTTACAGTCAGAAATTTTCTTGGATATAAATATGCATAGTACAAGTGTAGATATTTATCATACAAATAAAAGTTTAATATGACGATACAAAGTGTTGATATATTTTCCGAGTCTTTTTAATATATGTTTGAATAATATTTAATGATCGGTTATTGTTTATTTACTTTTGTTCCTATTTCGTTGTTCGATGATTCTATTCAAAATGTGCACAGTAAGTGAAGAAAAGCGTTGGTACATCATCAGTGAGTGGAAAAAAGGCTCTATAAATGTCTCAAGAGTAGTACAGTTTCTAAACTGTCACGTTAATATAATATACTGTACTATTAATTATTATCGTTCCCATGATGATGTAAATTATGGGCATAGTCCAGACCCATTTACCTGCACTCGACTCATCTCAAATCAAATAACTCAATCAAGCCATACAACAAAACCAATCAGCTACTGTTGCTGAATTACCATCACTTACATACTTCAACACTACCGAACGCACGATACAATGTTATCGTCCACGCAAGTCTCCTACTAAAGTTAAAAGCAACAATACGGATGTACAAAAACGATATCAATTTGCTACATTACATCATCGTGCTAATATCAAGAACTATATTTTTTGAAGGTGAATGTTATATGGGTTTAAGAAGCATATAACAGATTGTTTGGTGTAGACGAGGAGAGTCGAGATCGATACCCAAGAAGGAAATTTTATCTTTACGGACGCATGTTAACTTAATTGGCTTCATTTGGTGGAATGGTTATACTTTCTATCGATTCGATGGCTGGTTAAATAGTGATACAGTAAATGAAGCTTTATCTGGAATTATAATAAGTTAAATAGATTCTTATATGTTTCTGACGGAGTTAAATGGCATAGAAATGTCTCATTCAAACAATGGTGTGAATAATACAATATTGAATTATGTCAATAGTCAGTTTATAGTCCTGATTTTAACACTATTGAACTGATCTGAAACATTATTAAATAGAAAATTCAAAAGACAAGAATCCAAAGTCACAATGTGAATTAGAGAATGATGTGGATGAACCTTGCATCGATCTATCATTAAACGTTATTCAAGGATATATTAAAAAGACTTAGAAAGTATATCAATACTTTGTATCGTCATATTAAACTTTTAACTGTACTATAAACGTCTACACTTGTACTATGCATATATATATATTCAAGAAAACTTCTTCTGACCGTAAACTACGATTCTCAGTCGTTTTGTCGTTGGTAGATAACTCTACGATCAAATGTCTCTGTAATCCTCTTAATATCAATTCTAAATGGGAATAATTATAGTCAATCGATCTCCGATAGGTACGAATAGCCTTTTGTTAAATTTATAAATTGTTTATGTTATTACCTCCAACAAGAAGTGCTCCTGCACCAACAGCAATACCAACACCAATATCTAAACAAATAGAAAAAAGAAAAGAAAATATTTGTTGTTGTAAGATAAAAAATATCTCAACATACATCCTTCACGAGTCATACGTCGTGTAATTTCATCTTTAAGATTTTTTGCTTGATGATTACCGGGTTGAACATGAAGAATAGCATCAAGAAATTTTAATGCTGTTTCATATTCATTTAATCGTGCATTACCTAAATATACAAAATAAATAAATTTGATTATTTTTTTATGAAGAACTGACATATCTTACCAAGTGCTAAATAAAATAAATAATCTCTTTTAGCATCATCGTTTCTTGTTGAATCATAAAGTTCTTTTAATAAGTGTAAACCATAACGTATATCAGCTTTAACTTTACTTCGTACAAGACAATAAGCAAATGAAAATTTATTTTGCTCTGTCACTTGATTTGCTTCTTTAGCTTTTTCAAATACAGTTCGATAACGTTGAATTTCATCGGGTAGAACAATTTCTTCTAATAATTGTTGAGTTTGTTCCATTGTGTATGAAGATATATAGAAACAAATCTATAGATATTTATATATATATATATATATATGATGAAACTAGATGAGTCAGACATGAAGAAAAACGACTGAATAAATATGAGTCATTCATGACGTGTTAGTTAATGATTAGGAGATACATTTATTTTTCACCGGAAAAAAAAAAGAAAATCTAATAGAAACTTAAGAAATCTGCCCATTTCATTAGAGAGAGAGAGAGACAAAAAGAATAAAAATACTGATGTTATTTTCGCATTCTACAATTGTTGTATAATTCAATACAAAGAGAAAAGTTTAAATGAATAGATCAAAAAAAAAAAAAAAGATTCAGTTAGAAAAAAAAAACTATGCACATTCGCTATTAATGATTATATGGTTGAAGTAATTGTAATACTTGTTCGCAATTATGAACTGTTGTAGCAATATCTTCATTTTCTAAAGCTGAATTAGCATAACGAAGTAATCTTTGTACTTGAGATATAACATCAAATGGAACATCTAGAAAATTAATGGTGAATTTTGTTTGTTTGTTTTTTTTTCTTATAGTAGTTATTTTACCTTTATTGCTTGTAGTTTGATTATAAAAAGATGTAGAAGGATTTTTTGATGGTATTTCTGGTGAAACAGTGCGATCACTAGTACTATCAGCTAAACGATTATATAAATAAATATTAAATAAATATTAAAGATTGTTTTTTTCTACATACGAGGTCTTATTGCTGATGATGGACCACCACTACTACCAGCACCAGATTTTAAATCACGAAAAATTGCTACTGCACGACTTTTAGCAATTTTACCTAATGTAATAAACTACAAAATAAAACAAACATTTCAAAACGTTCACATTTTATAATTGATCTTTACATCATCTTTGACTGATCCAAATACAGAAAGAATATCAGCTAATCCACCGACAGTATAATGTTTTCTCATAAGTAAACGTAATTGTTCAGGAGTTTTATGTTCATCATCTTCAGCTTCATTTGTTTCAGTAACAAGAACACTTATTAATTCTTCAATTGTTGTCTGACCAGTTACCATAGATTTAATTATTTCATCATTTGGATTATTTCGTTTTGTCTAAATTTAAAAAAAGAATTCAAGCAAATTAATCGAATTTTCTTCGATAGAAAATGTTCCAATTTGCACCCATTATCACATTCAGTATGCATTTAAAATATTGAAAACACGTTTTTGGCTCAATTCAAACTTTTCTAATCGTATTAACAAGAAGTCTCGAATAAGCTTTATTGTAGTCAATTAGTTGATTTCTTTTTCGAGAATACACTGTAATTTATTACATGGGGAAAATCAGCGAAAAAGAGATATGAGCCATGCTTTATTAGTTAAAATGTAATTAGCGAATAATTCTTTAGACTTATAACGAAAAAGTCCAGGAATTTTCAGCAAAATCGAACTTCTAAAAATTACCTCCTCAAAATTGGTTTTGCTAAGACTTTCATATTTGTTACACTTTAGTCCTTTTAGGATGTAGGTGGGAGTGTTGTTGAAGTAAGGGTACCAACGGGTACTAAAAATGATAGTAACTTCCATAACATAAAAGTAAAACGAGATAAACTTAATTTTTCCTGAACCCCTCTTTACACTTCTCATTCAGTTATAAGGGAATTTTTTGAAAAATCTACGCATGTTCAGGAAAAAAGATTTACGTCGAAGTTTTGTAGTCTAAAGTGTTCTCTACAAAACGTACTATTTTGTTTTTCAAAATTACTGTTTGAACTTGCAAGATTTGTATATGAAAGCTCGCGTGGTGACAAAAAACCTTTTGTTCTTTTCTTTTTGTATCAAGTCACTAACGCTGGTTTTTCAATAATAATTCGACAAAATTAAGATCTATTTAATTTTGCGAAAATAGGAACTTTTAAGTCGAGGTTTTGCAGCTTTCTTCGACCTCCTCTATTATACACATTAATAACTGGGATGAGAGATCATTCAGCACAAAAATAAAACAACCATGAATTGATCAAGTTCCAACATTTAGAAATAATCTACTTATATTAATATTTCTACGTTCATCCGAATACATAATAGTGTGTTGAGATCTTTTACAGAAATAATCAGTATGTACAATAAATTTATTTTTCAATTAAATACTGATAAACTTTTTTTTTACCGTTTTGAATATTAGAAAAAAAAAAGTCATAAAATAATAATTATCTATAACATACTGCTTCAAGATAATCAAGTACATTTGAAACAAATTGTTTATCTTTTTGAAGTTTAAGTGCTTCATTTGCAATATACATTAAACAATAATATGTTATTGAAATCATTCCTGGATTTTTTTCATATTCTTTTGCAATACCAAAATGTTGCATAAGTTTAACACGTAATTCTTGTGGAACTTGTGATGCTAATGTCTAAAGAAATATATATTTTTTTTATTTCTTTTCAAAATAAAATAATTATATCTTACATCCAATGTAGACATATTTATACCAAATGAAATAAATTAATCAAATCTTAAAAAAAAAGAAGAAAACAAATAAACGTCTTGCTCCTGTTTAACATATAATAAATTCAAGTTTTATGATAAAAATTTCAATAGAATATTTTAAATTAGTCTATGGTTCCATGCGTTCAGTTCCAGTGACAACTCGTGGTTCTGTACTTCCTTCAGATGACGGAGGAGGAAGATTCTCTTCACCAGTAATCTAAAACAAAACAAAAAAAAAAGAACAGCAATCTCAAAATACCAACAAACTATTTTCTTCTTTCATTCTCATACTAATGTATCATCTTGAGCTTGTGGTGCACGTTCATCACCTTCAATTGCTGTTAAATATGTTCCAATTCGAGCATTATCTAATATAGCAAATGGTGTATCTTTACCAACAACAGCTACAGCACAATTCTGAAAGAAAAGAAAAGATAGCTTTTAGCGTAGTACGAATTTCTAAAAAAAAAATGGTCGTTTACGACAAAAATCGAGTTTACTTGAAAATTCAATATCTTGATAAAGGAATATTTTCAGAATTATCAGATCTATCCAAATGGATATGAACCCGATTAGAACTTTGTAAGGAGGAGAAATTTAAATTTGTACGATTAAACTTTAACTTACTTTAACTGTTAATTCAACTTCATTTGGTAATGTATCACGTAATGCTCTCATACAATGTTTAATAAGTTCATCTTGATTTGCATCAGGAAATTTATCTACATTTTTTTCAAGATATGTTCGAGCTGATTGTGAACGTGCACCAATAGCCATTGATTTACATGAATAATAATTAGCCGATGGACATGATTGATACAAATGAGCACCTTTTTCCTATTGAAAACAAAAACAAAAAAAAATTTTCATTTTTTGTAAAAAAAAACAAAAAAAGAATTAAATATACATCATAACCAGCCATAAGAAAACCAACACCAAATGGACGACGGCCATAACGTTGAGTTGGTACTTGACATTCTAAAATTAATTGAAAAGATAAATAAAAATGAAGTGTTTTTTTTGCTTTACTATTGCTAACATGATCCATCAATCTTATTACGGGCATTGGTTTATCAAAACTATATTGATGATTAATACATTCTGTACGCATAAATCGACTAAAGACAAATAAGAATGTTTTTTTTTTTGGTAGAAGGTTTCTTTTTTTTTTTCGTACCAAAGAATTCGAGCATCAGATGCTAATCCAGCAATAGAAACACCAATATGATCATCAATAAACATAATTTTCTTTTGATGAGCTGATAATTCTGATGGTGCTCGCTAAAAATAAAAATTTTAAATTTAGTTATACCAAAAAACAAAAAAAAAAAAAGAATTATTACTTTTAAAGCACAAAGAACAACATGTGTCTTAGATTTAACTGCCACAGTAGCTGCACCTTGTTTAACTGCTTCCATAGCATATTCTATTTGATAAAGTCTTCCCTAGATATGTATATGAATTGATTAATCAGAAAAGGCAAAATAAGTTTTTCTTACTTGAGGACTCCAAATGCTAACATCATGATCGTATTGATTACGAAACTAACGAGACAAAAAAAAATCCGATATAAATATTATTAATGTAATTTGGATTACCATTATAGATTCTCAATAGGAATTAATCGATGAAGTTATTCTAAAGAATACAGAAGAAAAAAAAAACAAGCAAAAGAACTTGTTCCAATATGACAATTGAATGATTCAATGTGTCCAATAGATTATTAACAAATGAAAAAAAAGTTTTAATTAAAACTCTTATCAAAGATTTTAGATTATTTTTTTCATTAAGAAATACTTTCGAAAGAAAAAAAAAAGATTATATTTCAATATGATATATGGAAAAATTTTCATAGATGACGCTACAAGAACGAACGTTAGAAGAATACAGAAATTGACGATGTTAAAAATTTCAATCTAGAAAAATCCACCTTCTAATAGCTACAAATCAAAACTAGTTCTGCCTTCGTGTTTATAAAAGAAGACAACGACTATCAACCATGCCTTCC